TGTGGAGCCAGAGATTGGGAGTTCAATTCACTGTCCCTTGTTACAAGAGGCTAAACTCGGTGATCCATAGGTTCTCTTCCAGCTCTGCAGTTCTAGGATTATTATTAAAATTCTAGGTTTAGGTCTCAATTGTGGAATGGTCTAGTTCTGAGGTCAGGGACCACAGAAACTATACTTGGTGAATTCCATTGGCTGAAAAGGATGAATAGTCAGGTTCTAAGCACTGAACCCTGTGCAAAGCCAAGTCCCATGGCCAACATTATGCAAGATGTTATCTATGGACTCTGGAGCTTTTCTTCAAAGCACAGTTGATTGTTTTTTCTTCTTCAGCTTCTTGGTAACAGATAAAACTACGCCTAGCTGTCCTGCTTTGTCCTGCAAATGACTTCATTTCATGGGACTACTCTGTTGATGAATTTCATGCATTTCTTTCTAAGCAAATTGCTTCAAGGTGGTTAATGGCAATACAATTTTAAAACGAAACTCTAATGCAAAAATTAAAAATACAATAATAAAAACATAGCTAATCGTGGCAGGGGTTTTCTTAAAAATGAAAACATTCACAAGAAGCAATTTCCAGCAAAATTAGAGTGCTTTTTCAGCCAAGCTTAAAATGCTGGTGGTCACAATTTGATTTTATAACACATTGGATGAGATACTGCTGTGATTGCTGCTAAATGATTCCAGTGTTTTGCATTCTAATCAGTATAACATTTAAAATAGAACAAGGAAAATGTGATACATTCCATTTTGTAGGCAACAGTTTAATTAGAAAACACAAATTTCTTAAGGCTATGAGTTTTTATTAAAGAAATGGGAGGTGCTATTATTTTTCCTGTTGCTATTGCGTGGAATGCTTTTCCTTCCCACTTCTATCTCCAGACCTACAGCACATGGCTCCAGATGCCTAGAACAGCCTGTCTTTTTTTTGTGGGGAGTGTAATTTAAAGAACCATGCAGGTGACAGATGTGTGGATGGCTACTATATGTTACTCTTGCTCTTAGGTTTTCCCCTGTAACTCCTCCCACTGAGATGCTTTCCTCCTGGCCAGATTCATATTTGGCTGGATGGAAAGTGCTGGGGAAAATGAACTGTGGCGATGAGAACAGTGAGCAGAGAATAGTTCAGCTTACTGGCTTCTGTGGCCTTTGGCTCTTTAAATTGCAGCTTGTGGTTTTACAGGAGCAGATTATGTTTATAGATGTCTTTCTGTCACTTTGAGAGACTCAGCTACAGTAGGATGCCCATATCCATTGGAGATTGGTTCCAAGCCCTCCGTGGATACTGAAAACCTCAGATACTAGCAAACAGTATTATGTTACTTGTTAGCGAATAATACATAGCATGGTCTCTGGTGCTCTCTAGTGGCTAGTTCTAGCAATGCATGTGAAAATAATTTTTCCGGTATGTATGCCCCAAACAGTACTGTACTATCATACATCCTAAATATATTAAAATAAAACTGGAAAATTATTTACACATGTATTGCCAGAACTGGCCACTAGATGGCATGCTATGTATTCTTCACTAACCAGTACTGTATCCAGAGCATGGTCTATGGCAGTGATGGTGAACCTTTTTGAGCCCGAGTGCCCAAACTGTAACACAAAATCAACTTATTTATTTCAAAGTGCCAATACTGCAGTTAAACCACGAATGCTGAGGTTTTAGTTTAGAAAAAACAACTGCTCCTGCACTGCAAGGGTTAAATCCTTGTTCTCTCCCCCACCCCCCCAATGGGCGGTATTAACAAATACTTACTGGTCCTCCAAACCCCCATTGGGCTAGACCAGTAATGGTCGCCATTGCACCGCTCTGCTGGACCACTGCACCAGCAGAGGGGAGTGCCGAAATCCAGGATCGGAGGATGGGTAAGTATTTCTTTATGGCAACTTATGACTCATGTGCCAGCTGTGGCACGCGTGCCATAGGTTTGTCATCACTGGTCTGTGGCTTCATCTATTAGCTGGTTCTGGTAATACATGTGAAAATAGTTTTTTTCTGGATTTTTTTCTTTTAATACTTTTCACATTTTCAGACCATGGATAAGTGAATCACTGGATACTGATCAAATGGATAGGGGGTCCTATTGTACAATTTAAAACTTGTCTTTGCTTTGAAGTCAAGTGGGTGTCTTTATATAAGTGATCACCACTATGATCTTGTCCCCCCTCCTTTGACTGGTTTGCAGTGTGAGAGTTATAGAAAGAACTCTTCTCACGAGGATTAGAGTTTAAAACGTGAAAGTAGTAGAGCTGTTTTTAACACGGACCATTATTCTTTGGTGCATGCTCATACTCTTTACTGGGCGGCACCTGGAATAGTTTCTAAAGACAAGAATTTATTTCTGGCAATTTCACTGTGACGTCTGGTTACTGGATGTGAACAGCAGGGGAGGGGGACGTCACTATCAGAACATGCTTGTGAACTTTCAAAAATGTGTATAAATGTTTGAGGTGTATGCATTTGTGCAGTAACTTTAGAGATGGTGCTAAAAGATCAAGCTGGACATCATGCTTAAGTTTAGTTTGTGTTGGAAAAGTGAAGATTAATAGTTTTTTTAGGAGTGTTTTGAAAGTGATGGGGAGAAAGAACATGCATGTGTATGTTCTGGGAAGGAGTTCCAGGCTGGAGAAAGAGAAGATTGCTCCGTGGTTTAGGCATCTAGCTGTGGAGCCAGAGATTGGGAGTTCAGTTCACTGTCCCTCGTTACAAGAGGCTAAACTCGGTGGTCCATAGGTTCTCTTCCAGCTCTGCAGTTCTAGGATTATTATTAAGATTCTAGGTTTAGGTCTCAATTGTGGGATGTTCCAGTTTTGAGATCAGGGACCACAGAAACTAAACTTGGTGAATCCCGCTGGCTGAAAAGGATGACTATTCAGGTTCTAAGCACTGAATAAAACCCCTGTGCAAAGCCAAGTCCCATGG